CCCCCCCCCAAGACCCCAACAAAAGATTGCACTCTAGTCTACCACAAGTGGAGGATAAGCTTCTCAATCAACTCCTTGCAGCTCCACGAGCCGACAATGCTGAAACAAAACAACTTATGCCAAATTGCTCACACAAAAGCACAGGTCTTCAAGATATGATCCAAGTCCTCATCAGCCCTCTTGCAGAGAACACAACAATGTGAATCAACCACCAAAGACTCTCTAGCTGAGTCCAATCCAAGGTGTTAACTTTTTCTTGAAAAACCTGCCAAACGAAGAATTGCACCTTCTTGGGAATCTTTACCTTCCAAAAGAAGGGGAAAATAGCTCTACCCATCGAGGAAGGGTTGTACAGACACTACAAGAAAAAAATTCGGAAAGAGGATTCCAAAGGTGGACATCCCCTCAATCATCCCTAAGACGAAAAGAGGAGAGTGAGGATAATAGAGGAAGAACATACGGTGTTTCCCTATTGGTCAATGAACGATAGAAACCTAGAGAGAGATGAGGGGGCACCTTTGACTGGTCGAGGATCGAAGCAATCAAGTGGTTTTGAAAGAAGATATAAGTGAGAGTATAAGGAGCACCCTAGTCACTTTCCCTCTCAAAAGTAAGTATCTTGCCCATCCCCCATTACATTATGAATAAACTGAGAGAGAAGATGAAGATTTGAAGCAATCACTTTAGATGAATTTCTGGAATTGCCTTTAAACCCCTCACCGGTCCACTCAAATGGACGGGCCCGTATTTGATAACATTAACCTTGTGCCATAAGATATCGACTTCATGATAGATAGAACCACTAGAACCATTTAACTAACAAGGTTGTGTTTCACGTCCTAATATTACCAATACCTAATTCCCCATGGCCAGAGACTTAACCAAATCATTTCAATATCCAAGAGGATAAACAACATCCACCCTCTTTTGTTGTTTTTTTCATGTGTGTCCCCACCAAATTATCCACACCTTGACTATCATCCAACTAACCCTATGACATTTAGCATAAAAAAGTTCATAGATATTTCATATCCTCAACCAGTAGCCACAATTGAACTATAATCTCAAATACATTTAGGTTTACCACTTGTCCGCTTCGATATGATGGCTTCCTTATAATTTTTTAACTAGAATTATATTATAAGAAGATTCAAAACTACTTAAACGATAAATACAAAAGAAATTGGCGGATAAGGCACCTTCCAAACCAATGACCAACAGGAGTAATAAAGAAAAAAAAACGGAACTTCAATTGGTTTGAAGATAGAAAGTACTTCCATTAATAAAAAGGAATACAAAGAGGGAGACATGCCCTCTTCCAAAGCCACAAAAGAATATCAAAATGGCATTATATCATAAGGTGCACGTAGCATAGTTACAATTATTTTTATCTTTTATCTCATTTCATAGAAGTTCGTGATTTAAAAAACCATACTGAAGAGTGAAGACAGACAAGTAAAATAACTTATATCCAACAAAACTTGTTTCCCAACATTTTTACATGTCAGAGACCGGTTAGTTGAAATTACCTCATCATAACTTTTCCCTTGAATCCTTGCCCTTTCCAGTCTTTCATGTTTCAATCTCCTAACTAACCGCTGCTCTATGTGATCACTAAGAATAGTCCTAGGCAAGTCTTTTGCGCCAAGAACAGCACTTTGAGGTAATGGTATACGCTCTCCTCTTTCAATTTCTTGTATGTAGCAATTTGGACAAGTATACTCAGCTTGACCACCATCATTTCTTCGACCATTGAAAAGAGCACAGATCTGATGTTGCCATGCTTCACATTTATCACATTGAACCCACTGAAAGAAAGCATCAGGGTGGTTGAAAAAACTGAAAGAGGAAGCATAAGAAAATCATCTAATCAAACATATCATACTGCAAATAAAACATACCCATTCCTCTGTCTCTTCATCATTTTTCTTCTTCTCTAGCCTTGACTTGGGAATGGCAGTTCCATCAACAACAATAGCATCTCCACGAGCATCATTATAACATGGAATACAAAAGTAATGTCGTGTATCACCAGCACCGACTGTATGATACATTGCATTTCTCTTTATACGAGCACCACATGGTGTGCAATATATAGGCGGTGGCTCAAAGGTAAGTTTCTCAACTGCACATAACTGACAGGAATTCTCACTCATTGATTGTTCCATGGCTTGATTCTTCTCAGCCTTGGATTTGCTCTGGAGAAAAAGATGGAAAACAGAAAGAAGCTTTTAGATAGCAAAGTGCACTTGATTCAGTGATCAATTTAGTACCCATAATACATAGAACAAAAAATTAATCAAAATGAAAAGTGACTATAACTCACACTCAAAAGATACAAAATCTAGAAGGAAGTGAACTAAAACAGAAAATAAAACAACAATGAAACTGTCTAATATTTTTACTTCCTATAGTTATACCTCCCTCATTGCAAATTGGGAAGGTCTTTTGTAAACATCATGGATTATACATCCCTCTTGTAAATTTCACTCATCAATGAAATTGTCTCTTATCAAAAAAATAATAATAATAAAATAAAATAAAACAACAGAATACAATTACAAAGGAAAAATAAATGTATCCCAATTCAAATAAATATCATCATGTAGTGAGAACGTAGCAAAGGTCTTAGAAAGAGAACGCCATTAAAAAAATCCATAATACATATCATTAAAAAGTGATTTTAAAAACATCTCAACATAAATGAAACAAAGGGTACCAGGGAAATGAAAGGTCTATGACACCAAAACAAAACATAAAATATCCCCGCCACACTTATGTACTTTACTACTTTCATTAAGATTGCAAGTGAAAAATATCTTAGAGCTCAAGACACAGTTTACGGGTTTTGAATTGATGCAAAAACAAACCTTTTGTAGAACCTAATGTATTCACATATATCCATTATAAGATCCAAAATTGAACTATTTATGACTTACATAGAACATAATTGTTTATATAAATAAAATTTTATTTGCATTTTTATAAATATTTTCTCTAGTGTATCTGTGTGAAAACAACACAAGACAAAACCGTGTTAACTAACCTGGCCAACCCACTGTCTGAGACTAATAATATGGTCTCTCACTTGTTCTGGAGTGAACAATTCAGTTAGTGACACCCCTTTAATTTTTGGCTTCCCAGACTTGGTGGCAGCTGCATGCTCAGTGACATGCGTTGAAGGATCTTGCACACTTGGCTCTGTCTCTTTCTCAATTTTAACATTCTCTTGCTTTGGTAAACTAGAAAACTCATCATATGTGACGAGGTCAACATCACACCTTTGGCTGCAATTATTGTCTGCATTAGCGTCCTTCAAATCACTATGGCTTTCAAGAGTTGAGCTCTGCAGCAAATCCATTTTTACATCTACTAGCTCATGCTTAACAGCCATAGTAACATCGCTATGCTGATAACCTTGGCACTGCACATCCAAAGACATGTGGTGTTCACTCATAGCAGAAGTTGAAATTGCAGAGCTCTCACTCTCAGGAACAAGAGACTGAGTGGACTGCTCTATCTTCATGCGTTTAAGAGAAGACTGCAGATCTTTTGAAGTTTCAGTAGGCTGAAGGGTCTTAGAAACAAACCTAGTGGAATTATCTTGAGTATCACAGGATTTAGGGAATCCATTGGTCAACTTTTGCAAACTTGAATCAGATGCATTGTGGGCACGTACGTTTTTTCGGCTCTGGATATAGTCTCGGACAGGAATACAAACAGGACAGCTCAGATCCCTACATCGCTTGTGATGATGAAGCAATAACTTGGTAGGTTGGCAACGGAGATATGAGCATTGAGAAGAACTGCATCTATCGAGATGTTGCCACAATTTCTGAGCAGTGACACAGTTCCGCTCTGGACATTTCCCTTCAGGAGCTACACAGCGACGGGCATGCCGCAAAAACAGAAGCCATCTCTGCTGATTTATAAACTGGCGTGCACTATTGTTATTCTGGCAGGTGACACTAAGGGGATTAGGAGGCTCAGATTTGGTTCTAGTAACAACGGAGTGCCCAATTGTTGATCCTTCAGTAGGTAAATTATCACACTGCACTTTATCGTGACCCGATGCCTTCTTATGGAAATCATGGACATTTGGCTCATGAACAATGCTCCCGGGCCTGTGATTTCTATCTTGTGATTGGGGATGCCATTGACCCTGCAAAGTTGCACCTGATAGAGCTCCAGCAGGACTGTTCAAACGATTTTGAGAATTTGAATTTAATAGATGCGGATTCAAAATTTGTTGCATCTGTTGAGAGCTTTGAGAATGTGGGGAGCAAATATCATTATGGCTAGATGAAACAGAAAGATATTGAGCATTCCTCGCACAGTCTTCACTAGAATTCTGATGAAATTGGTTATGCGTCTCAGGCAGTGGGAAATGTTCAGTAACTTGTGGCTGAAAAGGCCCACTATGATGCTCCCCACCAGGTTCCTGCTTCACATGACTGCCTAGGTTGGACGCTAACTGAACTTGACTAATAGAATTGTTATTTAATAGGTGCTGCTGAGGCTGAATTTGCTGTTCCTGGATACTAGACTGTTGAAGAAATGGTTGTTGTGGTTGAAATTGGTGATGCTGCTGCTGAAACTGCTGCTGCATATGAGAATCAATGATGTTTTCCCTGGAAGATAGTGAAGGTTGGAAATTCATCTTGTCTGACCCATCAATTAGGGGGGAGTGAGTGCCCTGTTGAGTTCCATGAAAATTTGACTGGTTACTGGGGAAAGATGAACTCGTTTTAGACATAGATGGAAAATTTGCCGAGTTCAAATTGTGAGCAGTCACCATTGATCCAACAGATGTTGCAGGGCCATAAAGGTTTTCAGACCCAAAAGAATCGGTAGTATTCATTCCATATCCATCACCTGTAAAAAAAAATTGATTGTTATTACCAAGAACTGCTAGGCAAAATGACTGGAGCCAATAAAGATAGAGGGAGATAATACCTTGCACCAACGATTGCTCATTTTGATCAAAAGATTGTCCTACAGGTTTGGTTAAATTACCATAAGACGAGACATTCAGATAGCCCTCTGAGGTGCTAGATTCTTTCAAAAGTTGTACATTACCACCTATTAATCCTAAGCTACCATTGACAGCTCCATTTGTAAACCCATAAGATTTCTGCTGTAAGCCAGACCTTATTCCACTACCCATTTGGCTACCAAGATTGTGTGATATACGACTGTTCTGACCACCAATATGCTGCTTTTGCAATTGCACTTGAGACAACATTGTAGGTTCAACACTGGGAAGCCCACTACCATTACTGGAAGACTCCCTGCTCACATAAGACTGGTTGCTGCTTATATGGTTAATGTTATTACTGAAACCAGGTGTAGGAATCATTTGACTAGCAATTCTTTGTGCACCAGCAGATGATATAACTCCACCAGAACCGACTGAATAACTAGGAGACTGCTGATATCCACTGGATAAGGGACCTGCAAAGGAAGATATCAGAACTTTTTTCATAAAAGCAGAACTTTTGACATTGGGAAGGAATTATTTAGTGGAAGGTACCATCAGCTCTGTTGAAGGAACCACCAGTTATTCCACCAGTTGGCATGAGGCTTCCTGTGCTAGCAGTAGGTGCTAAGCTAGCATTAGCGGAAATAATAGAATCGCCTGAAGACGCAACCATCATTTTTGAATTCCCACTGTGAGCCATACCAGGAGTCGGAATCATCTGACTTATCGCAGAAGAAGAACTAACCACCTGCTGATATTGCTGGTTCTGATTATTCAGGGACGAACGCTTCAGCAAATTATGCAGACGACTCTCCAAAGTATCCAGGTTCATATAGTCATCCTGTGTCATATCATCATAACGGTAAAGTTTATTCAAAGAAGAAATATATGAACCACAGTAGTAAAAAGTTAACATGCTTGTTTGTCCGAGACTTTTATAAGAAAAAACAACATAAGAGGTGGTCTCTCCATTCTTCTTCAACATTTTAGTGGTAATTTGTTTAATATAGGGGTGGGGGTGGAGACCTTTGTAAGAGCAGTTTTAAAAATACCCTCCTCCAAGCGCTTCACGAAATCCTTAAACTTCAGCCTCTGTAATTCATCGATGGGTCGTTGATGCCGCTGTAATAAAATCTCAAAGCTGGAAAGCAGAAACATAAAATTTTATTAGGCAAGAGCATAAATTCTCAAACAACAGTGTATTGGAGAATCCAAAATTGTCGTATATAAAACTAGAAAATTAAGACCTAAAAGTCCTATCAATCATAAACTAAAATCTACAATCATAACAACTTGAAAACCAATCGAGTAAAAACTAAAAATAGCATAATATCAACAAAACCACAAGCCAGCAACGTTTGCAAGACGCAAGGCATAAATAAGTTGATAATAATGCCTAATAAAATTCAGTCTAGATTGGCTATGTGATTGCTAACAGAAATAACAAGACATACATGCAAAACAAACAAATATTGATGATAAAAATAATAGGAATAAAGAAAAGATAAAGAAGAAGACAAATTATCAAACTAAGTTTACTCTAAAGTATCTCATTTCTCCAAAATGTAACTTACGCTACAACATCGTATAAAAGAAAAATCTTAACCATCGACAAGAAAACAAGTGAATGATGAACTGGTACAAGAAAAAATAGTTCCCTGCGAGTGGTAAAGGCTACCCGTAGTCACCTAAGAAGCACAAAAACAAAAGAGAGAGGCTCTGAGGGCCTGAAGTCTTCATCAAAGACGGATATATAATGGTAAGTCTTACATTTTCTCTTGTATGAAGACGCGTGCTTTATAGAGTTCAGTGTCCATATTGAACGTAGCGCGTGGAGGATCACCTCTCCGGACAACTCCACACCAGCTTTATCAGGCCTGCCCAGATATCTGGCAAAAAGGAAAAAAAGATGCACGCTCATTTTCCTTATGTTATCAAGTTAAAAGCTTCCTGTAACGACCATAGTGCATAAACTCGGACAAGGTCAGATAACTACCACATAATAATCAGAGGCAGTGGAACTGGCACATAATTTTAAAACTAAATAAAAAGATTTCTCTTTTAAACGAAATTAGAAAACGTAAGTGCCCAAGATGATATCGCGCTGATCCTATTCCAGGCAAAAACAGGTGAAATTGAAAGAGACCAATAACAAACCAGTAACATAATGAGCGCAACATGGAAGTGCTACAGTCTTTTACTTAGAAAGTGTAGTAAAATGTCAACTGATGAGACTAAATGACTAAAAGCAGAGTAGTACAGATAGAATCACCAAAATAAATTTTAAAAACAAAAGGGGGAATGCTCTTTTTGTTTCCTCCTTACTAAGAACCAAAGATGTTTATAGCAGACGGAAAATTGAAGAGCCAAATGATAAGGACCTGATCAATTTGCTCAGTTGTTCCAAATTTCCTCTTCTCCTTCAAATTGTGGTTTATTTACAAATGAGTATCACCCCCAGATCAGACGAACTGCCCGCTACCATCGAGAATCAATCCCAGAAGAATGGAGGGCTCTCCGTCAGACATCTAATTTCTAATCCACGGACGAATCAATCAGCGGCTTCATCTTCGATGAGGTAAAAAGAAAGCGCGATTCTCAATTGTAGGGTAAAGAATCGATCTATTCTCAGTTACACTAATTGATCATAGAAGAATCGATCTGCAGGGAGAGATTAAGGTAAAGAAGAGAGATGGAAAAATACGAGAGATTGAGGGCTATTTTCTTTTTCGTTTCCTTTTCTTTTCTTTTCTTTTCTTTTTTTTTTTTTTTTTTTTTTTTTTTTTTTTTTTTTTTTTTTTTTTTCCTTTCATAATGAGCGAGCGAGCAGGGTGGCAAACTTCGCTCGTGTTTTGCACGTTTTTTTATTTCTTTATTTGTTTATTTATTTTATTAACCTGGGCTATTTCCTACTATTTTACCCTTCATTTTGATTAGAATTATCGTAGAGGCTAAATTGCACAAATGTTAAAAGTATAGGAACTCAATTGAGTCGACATTGAGATTTAGGTCTCAGATACGCTGATGGTCCAACTGATTTTCCTTTCGATTTATCTCTCAATCCATCATAGGCAGGTTGTTGAAGGATCTCGCCACCATAATGCCATCAACATTGAAAGGTATTGCAAGAGAAGGAAACTAACAACTGAAAATATTTGGGAAAAAGAGGAAGAATCAACAAGTCATTAGGTCGAGAAATAAATAACATAATCAATAGATCAAACAACAAGTTTAGGGGTTAGGTTTGGGGTTTACTATTTTGGGTATGGTGTTTAGGGTTTAGGGGTTGGGGTTTTAGGTTTCGGGTTTCGAGTTTCAGATTTGAGGATTGCGGTATGGGATTTGGGGTTCGGGGTTCATGGTTTGAGGTTTGGGTTAGGATTTTTAGGGTTTAGGATTTACAATTTTTAGGGTTTAAAGTTTTGGGTATTAGGGTTTAGGATTTACGGTTTATAGGGTTTAAAGTTTGGGGTATTGGGGTTTAGGGTTTTTAGGAGTTTAAGAGTTTTTAGGATTTAGGGGTTAGGGGTTCAGGGTTTAGTTTTTTCACGTGTCTCCATTATCGTGGGGTCTTATAGACATGACTACATGTTTTTTCTTCTTCCATATTTTACGCTTAGTACACTCTTTAGTGGATTTGGTACGATATTAAAACGAGAAAACAACGTACTAAACGAGTTAATGACCCTCATCTTAAAGAGGAAAAAAAGTGTCAATGGACACCTATGGAAAATGACTCGAAAATGGCCTGAAAAAGAAAGTGTTTAAGTTTGGTTTTTTTTACTAAACATATGTGTCAAATTCATCAAATTTGAATGTTCCAACTTAGATTTTCAAATAATCATTTAAGTGTCTCCATTAGGGTCTGAGATGTCTGAGATGTTTGAGACGTTTGAGATGTCTTTGATGCTTGAGATGTCTGAGAGGTCTGAAATGTCTGGGATGTCTGAGAGGTCTTAGATGTCTGAGACGTTTGAGAGGCCTGAAAGGTCTGAGATGTTTGAGATGTCAGAGATGTCTTTGACGTCTGAGAGGTCTAGGATGTCTGAGATGTCTAAGAGGTCTGAGATATGTTTGATGTTTGAGAGGTCTGAGAGGTCTGATATGTCTAAGAGGTCTGAGATATCTTTGATGTTTGAGAGTTTTGAGATGTCTGAGATGTCTAAGATCTCCTTAAGGTCTAAGATATTTGAGATGTCTGAGATGTTTGAGATGTTTGAGATGTCTAAGATGTTTGAGATGTCTGAGATGTTTGAGATGTTTGAGATGTCTGAGAGGTCTAAGAGGTCTGAGATGTCTGAGAGGTCTTTGATGTCTGAGATGTCTGAGATGTCTTAGATGTCTTAGATGTCTTAGAGGTCTGACATGTCTCTGATGTCTGAAGTGTCTTAGATGTCTGAGAGGTCTGATATGTCTTTGATGTCTATCATGAGTTGTCTGAGAGGTCTGACATATCTATGATGTTTGAAGTGTCTTAGATGTCTGAGAGGTCTGATATCTCTTTGATGTCTTTCATGAGCTGTCTGAGAGGTCTTAGATGTCTTTGATGTCTAAGATGTCTGAGAGGTCTGAGATGTCTGAGAGGTCTGAGAGGTCTGAGAGGTCTAAGATGTCTGAGATGTCTGAGATGTCTGAGATGTCTGAGATGTCTGAGATGTCTGAGACGTTTGAGAGGTTTGAAAGGTCTGGGAGGTATGAGATGTATTTGATTTCTATGATGTCAGAGATGTCTGTGATGTCTAAGATGTCCGAGGGGTCTGAGATGTCTGAAATGTCATAGATGTCTGAGATGTCTGAAATGTCATAGATGTCTGAGATGTCCGAGAGGTCTAAGATGTCTTTAGGGTTTAGGGTTTAGGGTTTAGGGTTTAGGGTTTAGGGTTTAGGGTTTAGGGTTTTAGGGTTNAGGGTTTAGGGTTTAGGGTTTAGGGTTTAGGGTTTAGGGTTTAGGGTTTAGGGTTTAGGGTTTAGGGTTTAGGGTTTAGGGTTTAGGGTTTAGGGTTTAGGGTTTAGGGTTTAGGGTTTAGGGTTTAGGGTTTAGGGTTTAGGGTTTAGGGTTTAGGGTTTTAGGGTTTTAGGGTTTAGGGTTTTAGGGTTTTAGGGTTTAGGGTTTAGGGTTTAGGGTTTAGGGTTTAGGGTTTAGGGTTTAGGGTTTAGGGTTTAGGG